TCGGGCGAGTAGTCGCGGTCGCGTGGCTGGTCGTTGCGCTGTCGCATGCGTTTGTAGTTGTCGTCGATCGCCTTGACCGCCGCAAAGAATGCTGCGTACAGGTTCTCGAGCGCGCCTGTGAGCACAAACAGCGTCTTCAACCGAAGGTTGACGACGCTCTTGAGCACCTTGGTCTCGACGTGAAGCCGTTCGTACGTCACCACCATGCGCGAGTTGTTGGCGCTCATGACGTCACGGTTGAGCAAGACGATGCGGAGTGTATACACGAGGCGAGTCGGGTCCGACGGCAACGCTTCAAAGTCGACTTGCACTTGGTGGAGCCGGTTGCAAGCGGCCTTGACGTTGTCGGCCGCGCCTGTAATGTGCAGCCGGCGCAGCGGCGACGCTATCTCCATCTCTTCGATGTCTTCAATGTAGATGTGCGTGTGAGTGGCGTCGGCGACGTGCTGGAGGCGCCCCGACGCATGCTCCGAGAGGTACGCCGCAAAGTCGGATCGAATGGGCACGACCGACTTGTCGTGCATGTATGTGGCGGTCAGGAAGGTCGGCTTGGGCTTGGCGCGCAGGAGCTTTTGCATGTGTGGCATTAGCACGCGCAGGCCCGCGTCGATCGTCCTCGGCGTGCCACCGATGCAGAGGAGGCGGCAGTCCTTGTAGACGGACGCGCCGATGATGTACATGTTGCTCTCGACCGACCGCCCGAGCTCCTTGAGCTCCGCGCTCCAGCCCGCACCGAGGCTCTGGGCCATCTCGGTTGGCACGAGCATGTACGACTTGGCCTCGTGCTCCCGCATTGTCAACCAAAGTGACGTGTTTCTCAAGACTGCCCCGAAACGACCAGCCAGTGTTTCCAACCAGTGTGTCAGACACTGTTTCATACACTGGGTTGTCGTCAGCACGTGCTGCCTTGTAGGAAGACAGTGTTGTCGTTTGTGTATCGTACAATTCAAGGTCGTCGTAACCACTCGTCTATACTTGTGTTTCGCTCGTCGCCAAACGCTACAAGCTGCCAAGGTACCTGCCTCGTTTGGTCGTTCATGCTGCAGTGAGTGTGGATTGCGTGCGCTGCGAGTGTGGATTGCGTGCGCTGCGAGTGTGGATTGCGCTGCGAGGGTGGATTGTGGTGTCTCATAGCGTGCTCTTGCGTGTCATCTCGTTCTCTTGGTGCAACACGTTGCTGCTGCGTGAGCTTGGCTCGGCTGCTGTGGCATCTTATTTTCGGCA